CAACAGCCCGAGAATTACGGTGTTTGAGTTTCATTGGGATTTTGTTTTTACATTTTGCTAAAACTTAAAACACTAAAACCCTGACAGTGACAAGCCACTAACCATATGAATGTAGTAATGTATTTATAGTATAGTAAAAGACATTTTTAAATTTTCTTGTATCATTTAAAAAAAAAAAGATAATTTCGCTTTTCCCATTGGCAAATCTTTTTTTAAGGCAGTGAATATGTGCTATTAAAATACATACAATTTGAGCCATTTTCCACTTACTTTCTATCACTTTTTGCAGCACAATCCGGCATGGACTGTGCATATTGATGATTTGTGGTTGAGATATTGAGAGGAGCTTGTCACGAGTTACAGCTGGTCTCATGTATCGACCCGTTGCGATGGCTCTGACCTTGACAATCGGCGTGGATCCTTCCCACAGTGGGCCGCTGAAGCTCCTCCCCCAGGCCCAGGCTCCTCTGGGGGCTGAATGTTCAGATAGCACAGGCTTCAGTCCGGGCACATTGATCGGCACGTCAGATGACTTGATTTGTCCGTGTAATAATCGGCTCAGTTTTGACAGCCTTGCTAATGTGCGGACGGGAAAAGCCCAAAGCGGAGCAGCTCAATCATGTGTGGAAGAGATTATCGCTAAAGCATGATGTACAGATGTCAATACAGTAATATGTTATCAAAGGACAAATATGTGTAGATAATATGGTTGTATTTCATCATCTAAACTTTAAACTCACATTGCCTGTGATTGAAAATACTAATTATGATCGACCATAATTATGTGGAAGACTTGATTATTTTCATGGATTGGATTATTGCATTTTACTCAAATGTCCTTAGACCAGAATATATTAACGTTACTGTCTCTTATGCGTAGTGATGACAGAGATGTGTCCTTGGTCTGCGAGCACACACACACATTCAAAGACTATGATACAAACCATTCTAAATAAAGACATTAGCTTTAAATTAGCAATCTAGGGAGTGTAGATACAATACTATACATATTTATGCACTCAATTATGTTATTTATTTGATATGGACACAAAAGTCACATTGGACAGACTAGATGTTTGGCGTTAGACCAGGCTAATTTTCAACATCAATTTACTAATGCTGTAAAATTCATTTAACATGTGAACAACAGTTCCAGATGACTGGCTTGAGTCGGTTTGCACATTTCGGGCAATGGGAAGTTCCACTGTCTGTCTCCATCAGAGGAGCGGCTTGACGGCTGACAGCCAGACCAGAGAACAGCTGTGGCACATGATCAGTTAAACAAAAATCAACAACAAAAGAATATGTCATGTTTAAAAAAGAAGGAGGAACCAATATTCAATACTGAAAAGAATATATAATTTGATAAAGAAGAATCCAAAAAACAAAACGCAACTGAATGTAAAATACAGGAACTGCGGTTAAAACACACAACGAACTGACAACAAGAGAAAGAGCACAGGAAGTAAAACTAAAAAAGACATTACAAAATAAAACAGGAGCTAAAAACAATATCCATGACAGATGAATTTACATACAACTCACAAAAAGATTTTATGTGGAAAGTTTGTGTTTTTTGTAATCATCTTCAAAATTTCCTGTCGAATGACTGATTGACTGTGTGGTTGTACAGGGATACGACTGGCTTTAGGGCTGTGGGGGAAGTGGGCAACTGTGAGGTGAAGCGATAAGAAAGATGACAAAATATAATTGCGTGTTTGCACAAATGAGCAGCTTGATCAGACTTTTAGCCCCGCCCACGCCATGACTACATCCTGGTTGCTCTTGCTACAGCAGCAGTAGTTTATCACCATCGTGTGTGGAGTGAATGAATCATGCAATGTGAAAGGTCTGTGTGTCCAAAAAGTGCTGTTTAAGGTGACAAAAGCGTGGATTAGTTTTTCCGCGTCACTTTTAGGAAGGATATTCCTGATCTTAGCGATGTTCCGCAAGTGGAAATAATGCCGTTTTAGTTTCTTGGTTTATATAAGCCTTAAAGGAGAGTTCGGCGTCAAAAAACAACTCCAAGATTCCTCACAGTGTTGCTGGGCAAAATAATTATTAATTTATTTTTTATTTATTGTTTCTTTGGTTGGGACAGTACATGTTCATGAACACATCGCCCCGGCTTGTAGCCATGGGCTCATTTCCATCCGTTGTCCCACATTCACACTCGCAAACACACACTCATTCATTCACCCTGAACTGCTGCACGTTTTTAGTGGTAGGGGAAACCGGAGTATCCGAAGGAAACCTACGCAGACACGGGGAGAACATGCAAACTCCACTCAGAAAGTCCCTGTTTCTTGCTGAGAGGCGAGAGCGCTATCCACTCAGCCACCGTGCCCCCCTCTTAATACTACTTACGTTATAGAGAGTGATTATCTGGTCGGCGAGGGAGTCACGCAGGCGCTTTGGACCGAGTAGGATCACTTCTGTCTTCTCCGGGCTAAGCAGTAGAAAGTTAAGAGTCATCCACGTTTTAAGGTCCTTTATGCAGCACTGAGCCTTGTCAACTGATCCGTCTGATTTGGTTTCATTGACAGATAAAGCTGTGTGTCGTCTGCAAAGCAGTGGAAAATAATTTCATGCTTTTTAATAATGTTTCCTATCCGTAGCATATAGAGTGTGAAAAGAATCGGTCCGAGTACCGATCCTTGGGGCACACCAAATTCCGCTCTAGAGTAAGGTGATGAGTTTTGATTCACATTGACAAAGTGATACCGATCCGATAAATAGGATTTAAACCAGCCAAGGGCTGTTCCTCTAAGACCTATATCACATTCTAGCCTCTGCAGTAGAATGCTGTGGTCTATTGTGTCAAATGCAGCACTAAGGTCCAGTAGGACCAGCACTGACACTTGTCCATTATCAGCAGCTAGTAGTAAGTCATTTGTGACTTTGACTAGTGCCGTTTCAGTGCTATGATGAGCTCTGAATCCAGATTGAAAGACTTCAAACATGCTATTTTCCTGCAGGTGGCAGCAAAGCTGTTCAGCTATAAGTTTTTCCAGGATTTTAGATATAAAAGTGAGGTTCCAGATCGGTCTGTAGTTTGTAAGTATTTCTGGATCCAGGTTTGTTTTCTTCAGGACTGGTTTGATTACAGCGGTTTTAAAAGCTTGTGTGACATTGTATAGATGTGTTTATTATATTTACGATATAACGATACACTTCTATGAGGTGGGCTCGGTCAGAGACCAGAGAGAGAGCAGAGAGTGACCAGAGAGAGAGAGACCAGAGAGAGACCAGAGAAAGAGCAGAGAGAGAGACCAGTCGGAGAGACCAGAGAGAGAGAGACCAGTCGGAGAGACCAGAGAGAGAGCAGAGAGAGAGAGACCAGAGAGAAAGACCAGAGAGAGAGACCAGAGAGAGAGACCAGAGAGAGACCAGAGAGAGACCAGAGAGAGAGAGACCAGAGAGAGACCAGAGAGAGACCAGAGAGAGAGACCAGAGAGAGAGCAGAGAGAGAGACCAGAGAGAGACCAGAGAGAGAGCAGAGAGAAAGACCAGAGAGAGAGCAGAGAGAGAGACCAGAGAGAGAGACCAGTCGGAGAGACCAGAGAGAGAGCAGAGAGAAAGACCAGAGAGAGAGCAGAGAGAGAGACCAGAGAGAAAGCAGAGAGAGAGATATACCAGTCATATTCTATTGAGTTAAATGCTGTTTTATAGCAAAATAATTCATGTGTTGTCTGGACTCGTCCTTCAGGAGCTGTCAGTCTGATTGGAATCCGGCTCACAGCGGTCGCCGTAGTAACAGGACCTTCTGCAGATTTTGATGCTCACAGCGGTCGCCGTAGTAACAGGACCTTCTGCAGATGTTGATGCTCTTAAGGATCAGAGATGGAGAATTCACCTGGTACATGATTTTAGTGGTAGGGGAAACCGGAGAACTCGGAGGAGAACCTGCAAGCTCTTCTCAGAAAAGGCCCTGTTCCGACCGGGATTCGTACCCAGGGTCATCTGGCTGAGAAGCGAGAGTGCTAACCACTCAGCCGCCGTGCTGCCCATGAGAGAGACCAGAGAGAGAGACCAGGGAGAGAGAGTAGAAAGAGAGACCAGAGAGAGATCAGAGAGAGAAAGACCAGCAAGAGAGACCAGGAAAGACAAGAAAAAACACAGTCCCTGAGACAGAATCACAGATTATAACATCCATGCATCTGCCCTAAGAGACCAGAGAGAGAGACCAGAGAGAGACCAGACAGAGGGAGTAGAAAGAGAGACCTTGGAGATAGCCCACACCTATAACTGACCTCTGACCTCCTGGATCAATGTTGGAAAAACAAATCCATAAACTTCATATAAAGTTTATGCATCTGTATATGACCTCTGACCTCAGGCCCCGCCCCTCTGACCTCCTGGATCAATATTGGAAAAACAAATTCATAAACTTCATAAAAAGTTTATGCATCTGGACATGACCTCTGACCCCAGGCCTTGCCCCTCTTACCACAGGCCCCGCCCCTCTGAACTCAGGCCCCGCCCTTCTGACCTCTGACCCCAGGCTCCGCCCCTTTGACCTCCTGTATCAATGTTGGAAAAACAAATTCATAAACTTTATATAAAGTTTATGCATCTGTACATGACCTCTGACCTCAGACCCCGCCCTCTGACCTCAGGCCGCGCCCCTCTGACCTCAGGCTTTGCCCCTCTGATCTCAGGCTCCGCCCCTCTGACCTCAGGCTCCGCCCCTCTGACCTCTCAAAGCTGCATAAACTCTAGCGTTTATGCTTCTGCTCTGTATCTTTAATAAACCCAATCTAAATACTCCACCTGTTCGGAGGGATTGTCCAATAAGAATTGGTTCCATTGAAAGTAGGCGGGGTTAAGGATTTCAGCGTCCTCCACCTTAATCATCGAACCATCGTTCTCTTCAAGTGATGGCCTGTATTTGTAAGTGTGTGGCATGAAAGTTTTGTGAACTAACCTCCTGAACCTGTTCTCTGGAGGTATTCTAACCCCATTGTTCAGAGGAGGGCTCCATGTCTGCTTTGTTCTCCTCAACTCTCGCAGTTTATAAAGCCTTTGATACAGCGGTCCTGGATCTTACACAGCTTGTCGGTCTCTATACAAAAAGTGGAAACCCATATGCAATATTTCAGGAGGTGCTTGTTCGTTTTCCTTATTCTTTGGTATAAGGAGGTCCTCAGGCCGTCAACCATCTCTGGGGTCATGGACTCCTCAGAGCATTCGTCTTCAGAGCCTGGTGCCCCATGCTTTTCCCTCAGCTTTAAAAAGATGGACCTGAGTTTCTCCATTCTGCTCTTGTCGATAGTACACATCTCTCCAGTGGTTAAACTATAGACCAGAACGTCCTCTTCGGAGTCTGAATGATTAGGGTGATTCTCAAAATACTGCTGACATTGTTCAATGGCAAGTTGCAGCAGTTTTTGCCTTTTGAAGGATTCCTTTTCACTGACCTCCACCACCTGCTTCGCCGCCTGCACCAGAGCCTGCGTGCTCTGCTGCAGCTCCACCTGCTTCTCCATCTTAGCTCTCAAAGCTACCAACATCTGCTCCTTCAGCAGCAGCTGCTGCTGCAGGTGCTGGACCTCAGACTCAGGGACCTCAGCTGCAGACACAGGGACCTCAGCTGCAGACTCAGGGACCTCAACTGCAGACTCAGGGACCTGAGCATCAGACTCCATCAGGTCTCTCGGCAATCTTTGTGTGTATTTTATCACAGCTGCCTCGTAGATCTCTGAGTTCCTTCCTCAGGGTTATGATAGTGGTCTTGGAGGCCTCTCTCCCCTGGTACCAGGCCTCTTTCTTCAGCCACATAGAGCGTCTGCGCTCCATCTGCAGTCTCCTCTCACAGAGCTGATGCTTCAGCTTCAGGAGGAACTCTGGGGATCCTTCTTTTAGCTCCTCAGATGATCCAAGGATCTCCTCTAGTATCTTTCTAGAGGATTGCTTTTCCTCCAACCACTTCTCCTCATCTTCTCTCCAGAGATCAGCCTCATCATCTGAGAACCACTTGTCCTGTTTGTCCTCCCAGATCCTCTCTGAGTCCAGCAGCTCCTGTTCATAATCCATCCACTGCTTCAGCAGTTGCCACACCCTGCGGTTAGTCATTATTTCTCTGAGTGTGGACTCCTTTGTCCTCCTCTGTTGAGTCCTTTCTCCTTTATCCTCTGTGGAGTCCTTTCTCCTTTGCCCTCCTCTGTGGAGTCCTTTCTCCTTTGCCCTCCTCTGTGGAGTCCTTTCTCCTCTGTGGAGTCCTTTCTCCTTTCTCCTCTGCGGAGTCTTTTTTCCTCGATGTTGACCCCCCGTTGCGTCCGTCCATACATGTAAGTTTCTGATTAATTCCGGAATTTGAGGTGCTTTGAGTTGTCGCCATGATGACGTCTCCATGACGACGTCTCCATGACGACGTCTCCATGACGACGTTTCCATGACGACTTGTCCATTGCGACTGCTGGGCCACAGAGAAGTCATGTCATGCCAAAAGAAATACAAATTGTAAAGCCCAAAACAACTGTTTCAGAGCTACTTAGGACGTGCAGCCGTTTCCCAGCGCATCTTTCACATGCTAACATGCTTGTGGCTGCCGGATTTGTCCCGGAAACTGGATTCGTCCGGAAGTCCAGTTTGCACATGTCAAAAAGTGTAAATAAACATGTAAACAGTTTGTGTTGTTATATACAGATTAGATTTTTGATTTGTGCTCAAATGTATCAAGGTTTATTACGAGAAACGGCGGAAAAAGAGCTCAGAGAAACAAATTCTTTTAGTAGCCGCGCAGCTAGTGCCCAGATGCGTTCAAAGGCACACGGAGGCGAACACAGACAGTTTAATTCTGGATTAGATTCACTGTCCTTTACTTGTTTAATCATCATACACCTGTTATGTGCCTCCCTGTGTTATAGTTCTGAAATAATTTGAATAAAATGGTAAATAGATTTTTAATATACTGTACATAAGTGCTGCGTGCTGGCGCAAGCGCAATGACGTACCGAGCCGAGGGGGATTTACATTTTAAATCGTTGAATTTTCAACATGACAAAATTCAAAGCGTACAAGGAGTTAATTCACTTCCTTGGAGGAGGTAAATGTGAAAATTATGCCACCAAGAAAGCAACAAAAAGGATGGCTCCTCAATATATGATTAAAGGTAACTCTTTTTATATATTTTTCTATGTAAATGCTTTCTCTTTATGTCTAATGCCAATCAAATGTATGTATGTATTTATTTATTTCAAAACCTGCACAAAACAAGATACAAATATCAATTATCAAATAAAAAACATGTCACAAGTTTTGAAAAGGGGGTTGGGTGAAGCAGACGCTTATACATTTCTAACCCGCTTTCACTCTTTCAGCAAAACAGCAAATACAAATTACACTAACACTGTACAGTTACATAATTGCATCAAATTAATAAAAACAAAACACACAGAGACAAGACGCACACTCATTCTCTCACTCACTCAGACACTGGCCCAAACACTCCCTGACCACACACCTCTCTCCCACTGCTCTGTCCAGGCTCAGGGCATCACTCTCTGTCCTCCATATATTTCTTCAATATGTCTCTTTTAAATTTCTTTTTAAATGCAGTCAAAGTTGAGCATGTTTTTGATTCTTCTTTTAATCCATTCCAAATGTGGACGCCTCGGACCGAGATACACATAGATTTTAATGTAGTCCCAAATTTAGGTACATAGAAAAGTTTGTTTCCTCTTAATCTGTAATTGTGATCTATTGGATGTGGTTTGTTATCAGTTGTGTCTTTTGAAGCGACTGGCACTTTCTGACATACATGCTACCAGATGGACAACAAAGGGAAGTGAACAAAGAACATAACTACAGCACACCATATGTTCAACAACAACATACGGTTCATCTGCTGACGTGTGGGATACACAATCCAACGGACTACAAGAAAGTGTTCCTCCTGCTCTGCTAAACTTCATAACAAAGTACTATTGCGATCGTACCTGTTGTACTTACCTGCTGTGATCGTACCTGTTGTACTTACCTGCTGTGATCGTACCTGTTGTACTTACCTGCTGTGATCGTACCTGTAGTACTTCTCTGCTGCGATCGTACCTGTAGTACTTCTCTGCTGTGATCGTACCTGTAGTACTTCTCTGCTGCGATCGTACCTGTAGTACTTCTCTGCTGTGATCGTACCTGTAGTAGAACTTCCCTGCTGCGGTCGTACCTCTAGTACTTACCTGCTGTGATCGTACCTGTAGTAGAACTTCCCTTCTGCGATCGTACCTGTAGTAGAACTCACCTGCTGTGATCGTACCTGTAGTAGAACTCACCTGCTGTGATCGTACCTGTAGTAGAACTTGCCTGCTGTGATTGTACCTGTTGTAGAACTTCCCTGCTGTGATCGTACCTGTAGTAGAACTTCTCTGCTGTGATTGTACCTGTAGTAGAACTTCTCTGCTGTGATTGTACCTGTAGAACTTCCCTGCTGTGATCGTACCTGTAGTAGAACTTCCCTGCTGTGATCGTACCTGTAGTAGAACTTCTCTGCTGTGATTGTACCTGTAGTAGAACTTCTCTGCTGTGATTGTACCTGTAGAACTTCCCTGCTGTGATCGTACCTGTAGTAGAACTTCTCTGCTGTGATCGTACCTGTAGTAGAACTTCTCTGCTGTGATCGTACCTGTAGTAAAACTTCTCTGCTGTGATCGTACCTGTAGTAAAACTTCTCTGCTGTGATCGTACCTGTAGTAGAACTTCTCTGCTGTGATCGTACCTGTAGTAGAACTTCCCTGCTGCAATTGTACCACTACTGTTTACATATTTATTTCCACTTTTTGACATGTGCAAACTGGACTTCCGGACGAATCCGGTTTCCGGGACGAATCCGGCAGCCACAATGCTAATTGCTGTTAGCCTAACATGCTAACTGCTGTTAGCCTAACATGCTAACTGCTGTTAGCATAGACATATAAAGAGTAGACGCTGCATCTACCGCTACTGCCTATTGGCGCCGACGAGCTGTAGCGCCGCCATCTTGGACCGGTCGCCCCGCTCCTCTCAGTGTAATCTGTTTAGCAGGCGCAGTGACGAGTCAGCGCATTTAATCAATCATAACTCACTGAATACTTCACTGATTTTCACTCTTTTTTTTTACTGTAAACCTCTACTGTAAACCTACTGTAGGCAATGATACAGGACACATGGTTTGGCGTATGTTAATATTCATAGTGGAGCTCTACAAATTGACTTTAGGGGGGTGAATAGTTATGCACATTGACCTTTTCTGTTATTTTGTCCTATTTGTTCTTTGCTTCACAATAAAAAAAAGGATAACCTCTTCAAAGTTGTGGGCATGTTCTGCAAATTAACTCCACGGGCCTCTCGAGTGGGGCACTCGTGGAAGTTTGTGCACCTCAGTTTGGGTAAGACCTGTGATACGTCGCCCGCATGGTCCCAAATTCACAGAAGTGTGTTCCGATCATATTTCACAGTAGCAAGTGACTCCCAGACGAACAACAGCAAAATACAGATTGTGCACACCAGAGATCTCACTGCTGCGCCCTGACACGGCGCCATCTTGCTCCGACACGAAAGCAGATCTTTTAGGCCCCACCTTATTCCTCATGTACATCAATAAATTATACAAAATATCACCATTCATGAAATGAATCCTCCTTGCCGACGACTCCACCATCACATGTGCAAGCGATGATTTGGAGAAACTTTTGCCCTCGATAAGTGGAGATGAACAAATTGAAAATGTGGTTTGATGCAAACAAATAGTTTTTTTGTAAATTCAAGGACAAAGTTATGCTTTTTGGCAACCGTAAAAGCAATATACCTTTTAGATTAGTTATTGATGAAATACCAATTGAACATGTTAAAGAAAATGGACGAAAGTTGCAAAATGTGTTGGAATGTTGTGAAGAACAAGTCAATTAATTAATCCCAATGCTCTGTTATTATTGTATAGCTCATTCATTATGTCTTATTTGACCTACTGTGTTGAGGTGTGGGGGAATTGTTACAAATCTCACTTGCAGCCCTTATTTGTGTTGCAAAAGAAAGCCCTGAGGATTGTGTCTAATGTCCATAACAGACACCCTTCTAATCCCTGTTCATTGCAAATCAAGAACTCAAACTGTACGACCTAATTATGTTTAAAACTGCTCCAATAATGTTCAGGGCATCTGTAAACTCTCTCCATCCGACTTACAGGAGCTGTTCCATGACAGAGACGCTCACCACAGGCACAAACTCAGAGGAAACGGTCAATTATTTTCCCCACTGTGGGACGAATAAAGGAATTCTTATCTTATCTTATATCAACCTAAAGTTAGAACAACCCTTAAGTCAATGTGTATCTCAGTGTGAGATACACCGGAGAACACCGGAGTTATGTGCTCCCTCTTTTTGGTGCCTGTTAAGATCCTTGCTGCTGTATTTTGAACAAGCTGGAAGCTCTTCAAAGAGGTTTTTGGGCACACTGCCAGCAGGGGGCGCGCTACAATCAGGGGGCGCTACTATCAGGCCTTAAAACCAATGCATTATGTTGATCTTAAAAAATATACTGTGCTTATTATGGTGGTCATTTTTAGTTTGTTTCATTTTGTATTATCTGTTCCCCCGTGTCTTTTTGAGTTTCACTTCTTGTTCTGTTGATTACATGCCCCGCCCTGATGAGTTATACCTGTGTCTCCCAGTTAAATTCCCTGTGCTCTTTCCTTCTTGTTGTCAGGCCATTGTGTGTTTGTTAATAAGTTCTTTCAGTCTAATCAGTCACTTTCATTTTTAATTATTGTTTATTACATTTGATCATTTTTGCAGTATTGTACAGTATATATATACACAGTATATTGGGTCCTTCCTCTTTTTTGAAACTTATGTAAGAATTTGTGAGGCTACTATTTCAGAATAAGTTCATTTCCCAGACTTGGTCGAGAGATCTGTTCCATGGAGTTTTGTGTAAAAGTAAAACATACTTTTTTTTCATTGATTAAACACATTCATCTTAGTTTCACATAATAATGTAAAACAGAAACTCCTGTTCTGACCCTGATAAGAAGTCTCCATCCCCCATTCTCAAAAACATGTATTGCCCCTTTAACATCTTGGTGGCAGCTTGGAGTCTTTCATGGAGGAGGTTCTTTATCCTCTCTGATGCCCATTCTTGCCAATAAGCTTCAAATTTGAATATATTCCTGGGCTACCTTGCATGAACCTCACGTCTGAGATTTCCCCAGAGCAGCTCAATAGAAAAAGTAAAGATATTCATTCGATAATAAATGGCTTCACAAAACTAACAACATTGAGTTAGGAAAATATATTTTTGCAATTTGATAGCAAAAACAATAGATTTTGGTTAAACGTGTAAACTTTCTAGCACAACTGCATACATACATTTTCTTATTATTTTTCTCGTCAATCCAAACACAATGACTGCAGGACTACTT